GCATTTCACAAGGGGAGCAAATGAATGCCTCTGTGTTACACTGATCTATTTAAAATAGAGTAGAATGGTGAGAAACAAAGGAAAAATGCACAACTTCCTACACCCCTGTCTTCCCAGGCTCAACACCACTCTTTTGTCCCAACTCTTCTAAAGTCCTACCTCCCTGAGTTGAGCAGGGGCACAGGGAATGGGAGTTCTGGTCAGTTCATCACACATCTCTGCCACTCCTTCCACCTTATGATGTTCCCCTGCTCCAGCATGGGGTCCTTCCCATGGGATACAGTTCTGCTGTATCCAGCAGAGATGCTCCAGCATGGGTCCTTTCCATGGGGTGCACTTCCTCAGGAACAGACTGCTCCAGTGTGGATTCCCCACAAGGTCACGATTCCTGCCAGCAAACCTGCTCCCTTGTGGACTCCTCTCCGTGGACCACAGCATGGCTCCATCTGGGCCTGCATGAGCTGCAGGGAAACAATTTGTGTCCTTATGGTTCTCACCACAGGTTACAGGGGAATCTCTGCTCTGGCCAGGAGTGGGTCCATTTTGGAGTTAGCCGAAAATGGTTCTTTTTTTGAAGTGAGTCACAGAATATTCTGAGTTGGAAGGGACCCACAAGGACCATCAAGTCCAACTCTTAACTGAATGGCCTCTGTGGGGATCAAACCCATTCTGTTCAGCATGGGGGCAGGTCCTGGTGTGTTGTCACAAAAGCCATCCCTGAAGCTCCCCAGCTTGTTATGCAAACCCAAGTCTCTTATTCTGAACTGGTCCTGAAAATGTATCTCTGTACTGGATACCTGTTGGCAGAGTACCACAATTCTGTATCACAGAATGCTGTTTTAATTTTTTAAATAGCCATCTTGACCATATGGGTAAAAGCATTACAGAGAAGTAGCGGGAAGAAACATCCTGGCATAACAAAAAAAACCCAACTTTTTCTCTGTCTAGCACTTTATCTATTGCCCTTAAAAATCTCTATATTGGACAATTTTTTTTTTGGTAGTGTGAATGAATCATTTCACATCCATAGCAATGAGAGGCCTCAGTTGTCCATATCCTAGACTGTCACTGATTCAGACAGAAATATACTCTTTATGAGACCTTCAGCTTGGACCCCTGGGTGAGTGTACCCACCTTTGCTCTGTTCAGTCAAAGAGCAGTGCTCATGACCCATGTATGACTGAAGTTCTTGAGATGCATTATATATAGCTTGCACTTGCCTTGTGGCTGCTGCTGTTAAAATGTCAGCAGCACCACAGCTACGGGTTTATAGCAACCTGCGCTTTCCTTTCTTACATCAAGAACTGTTACATCAACTGCAGCTACAATGCAGTTGAGCTGAGCTCCTGGAAATACAGTATAAACATCAACTTCACTGCTAGGTTCTGAAATCTTCCTATAAGACTCCTTCTACAAAAAAAATGTTCCAATCATTTAGTATGTCCAACTAATTTTTTAGCTATAATTACCATAGTTCCTTAGTTGAGAGTTATCCACGACACAACAGTGTTGCCATATAATAGGTGTATGCCTGAAGGTAACAATGTAAGAGCATGCAACTCTTTACACCAGAGAAATTAATCTGGAGCCTTGGAATAGCTAGGGAACTTCTGTTTTTCAAAAAATCTAAACTTCTAAAACAGCCTGCAGATTTTGTCAGGACATTTTCAAAGTGTTGCTTAAGTTTAGGTGGGTAACTTTTCATGGACTTCCCAACAGTGCTTTTTGTGAATGGCACAACAAGGTGTTTCAGCAACTTGACATTTTTTATTGATCCAGTCATCACCATTCAGACCAGAGGCTGGTTGTGCTGGTTTAAAAAGCCAAACCCAAACTCTGTAACCTGCTCCTTATGCTTAAAATCTCTTCCTAGTCCGCTTTCCAAAAGCTTCTATTTCCATCTTTAGTTTGGCCACAAGATGGCAATAACTTGCAGACAAAATGCTGAAACAAGCAGACCGATTTGAAACTGTTTCCCTTCCTGAGCTTTTCCTTGCGCTCTTTACCCCCCCCCCCCCCCCCCCCCCCCCCCCCCGCCTCTTTTGTTTCAATATTTAATTGCATTTGTTTCGGAATTACTAGGCAACCCACCCCCAGATGTGCAGTTTAAAGGTGATGTGCTTGCAGTGAGATTTTCAGGATGTACTCAGCAGAGCACCATCATGTGATACTGGGGTAAGGTGGAGTTCGGCTTTAAGGGGGAGTCTCTAGCCTTCCTCACCAATCTTTAGGATCTCAGCTGGAGAAATACCAGAGAATGCTTCCCCTTTCCCTACTCCTTCTTCTCCATCCAGCCTCCCGAGTCAGCCTCTGAGCAGACCAAAGACGGGCAGAGCAGTTGCAAGGTGAGTTTCCCCTGCGATTGCTTTCCCATGACTGTGGGTGGTTGTGTGCCGGTTAGGCTGGCGTTTGCTTCCTCTCTTAGGTGCAGGTGACAAAATCCAAGGGAGGGGTAGGCTCCAGGTTGGACTTGCAAGTGGCTGGGTGGACCATCGGCTTGGGCTGACAGCATTTTGTGCTTGCTTTGGAATAGCTCCAACAGTTTTACAGTGCATTTCCAGTCACCTCACAGCACATTATTTCACCCTTTCTGTCTATTATTGCTAAACTTGTGACCAAAATTCTCATGGAGAGTCAGGATGGTGTGCATGGGGGGGGAATCTGTGCAATCACCCAGAGGGGTCTGCAGAGCTATGGGCTTTCCCCATCCCAGGCCAGCACTCCTGGGAGTGGGGAGGGTTCTGCTTCCTGACTTGGGAGCTGATGGGGTAGAGGACAAGGAACAGTGCAGCTGTCCAGGACATGCAACTTCATCCCCTCATGGTGTCTGGTCCATTTTGGAGAGGGGCAGGAAAGAAGGACTCCTTGTCACTTGCCAGCAGTGCTGTGCTTCTGAGCTGGTTCCCAAACATGCTCTTAGGTTGCATCTCTGCTATGGGGAAAGGTGAGGGAAGAAGGAGCAGTAGCATTTTCTGGTTTTGAATTTGATATTTAATAAATAAGCAAGAGCAGAGCTTATCTAAGGGAGTAGAAAAACCAAGAACCTGAAACCCAGGACACTCTGTTGCTGGGTGCAGTTTGATCCCAGCTGGTGAGAGAACCTACCCAGTTCCCTCCTTGCCTGTCATCCCATCAAATCACAGGGCTGGACTGCCCACCTCGTGCTGTACAAGTGATGGTGAAGATCACGGTTAAATCCAGATGTGACTTTTGGACTATGATATAGTCACACTGCAGGAATTGAGAAGCCCTGGCTCTCCACATCACCCACACGCTTTCCCTTTGGGTAAAGCACCTACTTCTGGCTCTGGCTGAAGTAATGCTTCAAGAGGTCTTGGGGGTGGAAATTTATTGGACCCTAAAACAGACTAGAAGATCCAATAAATTTAGTTCGCAGAGGCAGCAAGTCTGAGAGAGAATGCCCAGCTGTGTGCCTAGCTATCTTGAAAATCAGCGTAGCCAAACCTCAGAGATGCCTTTTGTCTGAAATCACTGCTGTTAACTTTCACAGTAAAATGTCACACAAGCTACATTGCCTGTTATGGTTTCATGCAGCCATGTGGTGATTATAAAGAGCCAGCAGAGAAGAGGTGAGCTCATGACGGCAGCAGCAGTGAGAAGACATGGCATTGGCATGGTCATCCTTTGGCTGACCCTCAGGAGGAGCTGGAGCTGCAAGCCCATCCTTCACACACTGGCTCTGCCCTAGGGAGGAGGCAGCCCCAGGTCTGGTCCCCAGCATGTGGCTGGTTAAAAGAGTGTCTGCTGCCAGTAACAGACAAAGAGGATTCTTCTCCAGAGACTTAGATGGCACAGAGATTTCTATCGAGTATCATTTAAGATCAAAAGCTCACCTATTCAGGGTAACTTTTAATGAAGTACATTTTAGTGGGCAATGTTTCTACAGCTTTTGTGATAAATGCCGTATGGAGACGTGTTTGAAACCGACTTGTGTGAATTTTAAGTGGCATTACTTTCATTACCATAACCTAAGGTTAAGTGAACAATAAATTTAGCTCATGGGAGTGGGCAGAGGGAAAGTTCCAGGCTCAGTGCAGAATTCAGTGCCACTAATGGTGAGTTGAAGTAAAGGTGTGTCAGGTTATTGATTAATTGTTTATTAATTGTTTATCAGTTTATTTGATTTTATATTTTAATTTTCCTCCTGAACACACATGCTTGAGTTTCAAATTTTTAAAATCCAAGGCCTTGCAAAAGGATGGTTATTTAAGCATGCTTATTTGTGTTGCATGGCTAAAGAAATTTTCTTCAGTGTTTAAATTTTGCCATCTTTTGTCTTGTTTTGTTCTTCCTGTGCTGCACAGCCCTGTTAGCTGAGATTAAGTTGTTCAGAGTTCCTGATTTGCCTTTGACTCGGTGCCAGTGCTGCTGTGGGCACTCGGTCACTTAACATCAAGTCTATGCATTAGTGAAAAAAGAATGCAGCAATTTTTAGAGTCATGTTTCCGCCCCTCACATTGGTCAGATGGGCTTTCCCCACCTCATGTGATGACTAGATGTCATTTCACTTAGAGCAGTTTGAGAAATCAGACGTTTGCAGATTAAATTTATGAAAAGGAGATGTAAAGCAAAAAGTGAAGGCTGCGCCGATGAAGTCTGAAAGTGCTTCTCAGCTCGCTATTCCGTGTAACTTGTGCCGGCGGGAACGGACCGGTCAGGGGCCGTGTCTCCGCTTGCGGTCCCGCGCTTCGGTCCTGCTTTCTGCCTCCTTCCCGCGGACCGCAGCCCCGCTCGCGCCGCCCTGCGCGGGGCCCTGGGGCCGTGCGGGTCCGGTCGGGCCGGGTGGCTCCGCTCCCGCGGGACCAGGGGGCAGGCGCCGTGCCGAGGTGACCGGCCCCGCTCCTTCCCTTCTCCCCAGGTGGTGCGAGGGAGATGCGGCGCTGAGGAGCGGGCTCGGCCCGGGCTCCGCTGCGGGACCGATGGGCGCGTCCTGAACTCGGAGCGGTCTGGATGAGAGCGGCGGCGGCGAAGGGCGGCATCGAGTTGGAAACAACATGAATACCTCGGTCCTCGCGCTACTGGGAAATATTTCCGGTCACCTGAATTTTTCAGAGACGAACTCGCAGATCTTGCAGTTTGAGGACGAGGATTGCCGTGTGCCTTTGGCCATGGTCTTCACTCTGGCCTTGGCTTATGGGACTGTGATAATTCTGGGAGTCTCTGGGAATCTGTCTTTGATTGTCATTATTTTAAAACAAAAGGAGATGCGCAATGTTACCAACATCCTCATTGTCAATCTATCCTTTTCTGACCTCCTGGTGACCATCATGTGTCTTCCCTTTACCTTTGTGTATACTTTAATGGACCACTGGATTTTTGGGGAGGCCATGTGCAAACTGAACCCTTTTGTGCAATGTGCCTCCATCACCGTCTCAGTCTTTTCTTTAGTCCTCATTGCTATTGAGCGCCATCAGCTGATCATCAATCCCCGTGGCTGGAGGCCGAACAACAAACATGCTTACATGGGGATTGCTGCCATATGGATTTTAGCCACAGCTTCCTCTTTGCCTTTCCTGGTCTACCACGTGTTAACAGATGAGCCCTTTAGAAATGTAACATTTGATGAATATAAAGACAAATATGTGTGCTTGGACCTGTTCCCCTTGGACACTGCCAGGCTTTCTTATACTACAACACTTTTGGTGATTCAGTACTTTGGACCACTCTGTTTTATATTTATTTGCTACTTGAAGGTAAGATAGAATCCTCTTGCAACACAATCCTCTTGTCTGATGTTTGTTTATCCTTGCAAAGATGACAGTGGTAGGTTAATTTATTCCATGTGTTTCTCTTTGTTGAATTTCCTGCAGATATACATACGGTTGAAAAAAAGGAACAACATGATGGACAAGATGAGAGACAGTAAGTACAGATCCTCTGAAACCAAAAGGATCAACATCATGCTGATCTCAATAGTGGTCGCATTTGCAGTTTGCTGGCTGCCTCTCACCATCTTCAATATCGTGTTTGATTGGAATCATGAAATTCTGCCTGTTGCTACCTGCAGCCACAACCTGTTGTTCCTGATTTGCCACCTCACTGCCATGATTTCTACCTGTGTGAATCCCATCTTCTACGGGTTTCTCAATAAGAACTTCCAAAGGGACCTGCAGTTTTTATTTCATTTTTGTCATTTCCACTCCCGTGAGGAGGATTATGAGACTATAGCCATGTCCACCATGCACACAGATGTTTCAAAAACCTCTTTGAAACAGGCAAGCCCAGTCACATTTAAAAAAATAAATAGTGATGATGATGAAAAAATATAAAGGAGTAATAAAAATTCCATACCAAACTGCTTGAAGTGTGATTGCAGGTGAAATGTGTCCAAGGACAAGTGAAATTACATAACAAGTACAAAACGAGTAATGTTTTTCTTCCTTTTCCAAGGAACTTTGATTGTTGTCACTTTGAAATTATATGCTGTGCATTTTTGCCCCTTTTACTGCTTTAATGTTCACAGAAGTTGTATCTGAATTTTATTATAAGACAGAGTTAGACCTGCTACTACCTATGGTTTTCATCTGCTGTCTTTTGTTCTGTTCTCTTTGTACAGCTATGTGCTTTAGCAGAAAGGTTTATTTATTGATTATATTTTTTCAAAGAAGTAGTTTTCAGGAGTGTCTATCTAAGACCATTAGAAACAACATGAACCACAGGGACACTGTCACTACAGAGGACACCCACCAAAGAATAAAATTAGGAAATTCTGATTTGAAGAGTAGTTTCTTTCTTTTTTAATTCAGCTTTTGATTGATGTTAAAATCCTCTAAAATCAGTGTAGGCATGCAAAAAAAGGATTCTGTGAGACCTGTAGAATACGTTTAAATGGTGACGTACAGTTTTCTAATTCACAGAGGAAATTCAGGCTATGATCACTTAGTTTCAAAGAAAGGATTAAGAAAGGAATTCTGTTTTTATTTACAAGAATAAAACCCTATAGTAATACCACAGTGCACAATGTGATAACTCTGATGCTTCACCACAGCAAATGAAAACATAAATGGGCCTTCAGTCCCAACTAATTATAGCTGGTTTTAATAACACAGGCTTTTTAACTTAAAAACCCTAAACCCCATTTTCATCTGCCATCACTGACAGGAGTTAAGTCTTGCTGGCATGAAATATACCATCTGTCCCTGGCCTATGAACCATGTAAACTTTCCTTGAGACCTATGTCCAGAATCTGAAAGGAGATGGGACTGTTCACTGTATGGACAAGGTGCAATATCATCCTTGCAGGTGACAGTGAAAATCAGGTCTGGTATTAAAAAATATAAGCTTTAGCTACCTGAGTCTTTTCATAGTAATTAGTGTTGACCTACATAAATTATGTATAGCCTCAAAATATTCTGTGTTCAGATGCAATGGCATAAACCCGGATAATCTCAGTCTTAAGCTGTGCCAGGGGAGGTTTAGATTGGATATTAGGAAGAAATTTTTTACAGAGGGAGTAATCAGACATTGGAATGGGCTGCCCAGGGAGGTGTTGGATTCACTGCCCCTGGAGGTTTTTAAGCTGAGACTGGATGTGGCACTGAGTGCTATGGTCTAGTAATCATGGCAGCATTGGATCAAGGGTTGGACTTGATGATCTTGGAGATCTTTTCCAACCTGGTTGATTCTATGATTCTATGATTCTAATCTCGAAGACAACGGATGGTTAAATCAAGATCTGCAAAACTTAAAAGAAGGATATGGATAAAGTTTGGGTATAACTGATATGCTTAGCTTCCAAACTCACAGTTTCCACATTTGGTTGAAGTATGGAATTACTTGTCAAATATATACAATAGAGCTCTGTGTATTACTACTTAAAGTACGTATCCTCTAATTACACAAAATATTCATGACTAGATCCCCAGTTGAGGGAAACCCACATAACTTGACTGCTGTAAATGAAATTACAACAATATTAGCCAGCTGAGGTTCTGTGTCATACAGTGTAGTTTGCTGTAAAATCAAGGTCTTTTTGAATAATCAGCTTTTTAAAATACAATATAGACCCTACTTTCTTTCAAGAGGATCATTTGAAATCATTATGGCAGACAAGAGGGTCTTTAAAATGGATATAAATGTAAATGCAGCATGAATGGAAATGTGACGATACATTTCTGAGCAAAAAGATCTCAGGATGTTATGGTGAATTTAATGTGTTCTAAATTTGACATAGATAAATGCCTAAGAAATTAAAATTATTTGGGTTGCCAGAATTTAAAAGTAAAATACTATGTCTTGTACTGTCTTATAAATAGTGTGGAATATTAAAGTAGCAATGTGTTCTTGTGCATTATAATTCCATGTATTTCTCTACTGGAAGATAATTTAATTTAAAAGGTTTCTGTGCTTGAGAACAGAGATGGAATGTAGAAAATTAATTATAAGACAGAAGTTTCTTTCAGAGCTTTGGCCTTTTGTATTTTATGAGATTTCCTTTTTCTTTGTGGTTCGCTGTGGTATGTGTTGCTGATAATTTGAGAAGGGTCTCCCAAAATTATTTCCCTCTCACTTTGCAACAATTTTCACCTTCTAAACGATGTGTAGTTTCACAGTGAGATACAATGTAGGAAAACAGCCTTTTTTATATATTAAGAATGTCACAGTGGGTTTTTCCCATTACAAAAAGAATCACTATGAATTTTTGAATTTTAGATGCTTTTTTCCTTTTTTTTCCTTTTTTTTTTTTTTAAAGCTCTTTCTTTCAATGGAGTGGAAGAAGAAAATTCAATTATTTGAGAAACTTTCCAACTAGTTTGCTGGAAATTTTTGATCAGTCTGAATCAGGTGTATACAGAGTAGGTTTTGGAGCAACTTCAGAGGAGCCTGCCAGTGTTCAGGGACCTAAAACAGGTGTGTGCTAAAATTTGGAGATCTTCAGTGGGATAGCAACATATTTCTTCCTATGTCAGCATTTCTCCTGCTTGAGGTCCATTCTCAAATCCTGCAGCCCATCTGATACTGTCGTACTGTCTCCTGAGAATGTGTCAGGTGTTTTTTCCCTCCCAACACCTGATAAACAAGGTGAACTGTAAGTGGGAGGATTCCTTCTGCTCATCTTTGTTAAGCTCAGGAGCCATTTTTCCTCTGCACTGCTGTCCTAGAATCAGGCTTATATTGTTTCCTCACTTCCCTGCAAGAAGCTTTTCAGCCTCTGCTAAGGACGCAGGCTGGTGCATTGTCATACAAATAGCACAGTGTGCTCTGCCTCAAACGACAGTGTAAAGGAATACAGTGTAAAGAGTGTCCAGCAGGAAAATGCATTCGGAGAATTTCAGAGTCAAAATCATTGCTCTTCTGAAGAATTTATTATGAGATAAAAGTAGTCTCTCTGAGGTGCTGACCTGACATCCGCAGGGCATAGATCATACCTACTGAGAGCAGTATTTTTGTCCTTGTATTCGTGACTTGATGCTGGAGTTCTCAAAAGCCTCTGGAGACTTTCCCCTCCCAACAACCAGAGGATCAGTATTGATCCTCTGTTTTATTTTCGTGCTCCAGCATGGCTTCTCATCCTCTATATGCTAAATTTCTTTACAGGGTAAGCTGCTGAGTTTCACGTTTCACTATAATTTTTCAGTCATTCTGGTTTGATATTTATTTCTCCTATGTGCTGTTTTGTCAAACATCCCACATTTCAGCACATGGCGATTCCTATCTCAGAAGCCTGAAAATCCCTTTTATTCTTTCAGACTGGTAGAGAAGTTTTACTGACAGAAAATCAGAACAGTGAGTGATCTATAACGCATCTTATTATTTATGTGTCATACATTTCATGTCAAATCTACAGCCTGAAATGACAAATGGAACTATTTAATAAACATTATTATCTGCTTCATTTATCTGTTATTTTAGCATCTTAAACTTCAGTTTTATTGGCCACAGACATTTAAAGCTTCTGCATAATCTAAATAAACCAGCATATGTATGTCATGTTAATAAATACTTCTGTATTCCCATATTGGTTTTTTTTCAACATATCTCTTGATTGTGTCATTGTCACTACGTATGGTAATTCGCAACTTTCACATCAACAGTAAAAAAAAGGATAATAATAAAGGAAGCAATTAATTGGCAATAATACCTGCCTTTGGTAGGCCAGGAAAGAACTGGATATTAAAAAAAAAATATACCTATATGTGTATAATCAACCCTGTTTTTATCACCATATAAAGAAATCAGATTTAAACTAGGAAAAGGAATCAACTTGACAGGACCCCCCAGATCTCTTGAGCTGATGCTGACTGTATCTCATCACTAATGAAAGTGTGAAGGGTAAGGATTCATACATTCTGACTCTGTGGTCTTGGACTACAGTTCCAGCTATTATGAATGGATCCTAAAGGCATAATGATACTGATTCATATTCAGACTGTAAATCAGCATATGTTTAAATCCAGGCCTGTATATCAAGTTCTCATTCTAACCCCAGGAAAGTGTTCTCAGATCAATGAAACTGAAAAATTTGCTTAAAGTTAACCATTTGCCTAGGCACTCTACTGAATAAAGGTGCACTGTTGGCTGGCAGTTCACACTCTTTCCTAAAAATCAGATTTTGGATATTAGCTTATTATAGAAATAAATTAATGGTATATAGTTGTTTGGCTTTTTTTTCTGGATTGTTCTATGGCTTTTTTTTCTGGGGTACAGTGCCTGATAATGGTTCATTTTAAAGTTTTCCTTCCTATTTCTTTCTATCAAAGAATTTACTGAACTAGTGCATAGAGAATGAAGACAATAAGGAAACGTTTTTTCTTTTATTCTTATTTTTAAAGCATACATAACAGTAGGAAACAAGAGCTTAAATAACATCTCTTGTTTGCAACAGATTACATTCACTCAGCTGAGTGGAAAGGGGAGAGAAA